TGTTCACACACTCCAGTAATGATGCGTAGAGCAGGAACTCATGCCTGTGCCATTCAGTAGTATTTAGTAAATTGAACTTTTGTATAAAGGTCTTAGAAAATGGCAAGGCAGAAAATGAATGTCTTCTTGCTGCTAATTTTATCTTCCACCGCACACTCCTTTCTGGAGATTAAAGCATTATGAATCTATTCACTACTGAAAGTTATTTCAACCTTCATAGCACGTATCAGGATGCAGAAAAGCAAGTACATGTTCACAGCTGTTCCTCAGGTCTCTCTGCTGGAAATACAACCTGTTAAGCTGCTAGATTTCTGCTTAAAATAATTGTTTTATTTCATTATTTTTAGTTAACTGGTGAATCCTCATTAAATACTGAAATAAATAATACAGCTAGGTAATTGCATATGTAAACTAGCTGTAGATAATTGACATGACCTTCATTTAACGAGCCTCCTTCCCATTAGTGGAGATGACTGCCACAATTATGTGCCCTTATTCTAGCTGTAATTGTATGGACTTTATTGAAGTACAAACTAGGTCACGTCTTCCTGAGATCTGGTCCATGATGGGTGACCTCTTTTCATTGCTTCAGCTTTGCTATGCTGCATGAGAGAAGGAGGGATGTTCTTGCAGCCATGAGAATGGTTTCCTGAATGATGTCCAATCTCAAATGCTGTTTTGACAGAGACGTCTTGTGTGACCTGGGGAAGTAGCTTAAGGCCAGGTCTCAAGGAGGCTAGCATACATCTACTTTAAATAGCTTGTATCTAGTTTATACAAGTTAATAGGTGTATACAGCAGTCTATGGGACAGCAATTGAATGATTTCCTGTTCTAGAGAAGTCTTTGATCTTATATGCCTAGCGACATAGCTGAACAGGAGGAGTGCAAAAGCTGCAGCCTTTAGCTGTTGTTCCTGGAAGGTGGGGAGTAGAGACCTGAACCTCCTACAGCTGAGAAGGGAGGGGATAGATGCATGCTAGGACTACAGACTGAGGCGGAATCATCAGTGATTTTTATTTTGTATTTTTCTAGCTGCATGTCTGACTAATAGTGGCCATGGCTACTCTTCTTTGTCTGGCATTCAGTTGTATCGATGCCCTCAGAACATGTGGTGTCAGCCAGGTTGCTCCAGTTAAGAAATACTCAGCACTGATGAGCCTCTGTGGGAAGTAGTTGCTCAGTCTACCAGGTTAGCATCAGGTGTGGGTGTACACAGAAGTACTGGGACATCTCCATGCAAGGCCTCGTAGTGGTGGATGAGCCCAGCATGGAAAGGGGCAGTACCTTGCTCAGTAGTAGTGTGCTGCGAAACCAGGAAAATACAGCTTTCTCCAATGTTCCCACCCCGGTTCTGCTTCCGTGTGGGGTGGCGTGGTGACTTCTTCGTAATGGGAAGGGTGTATGTAATCTGTTGGTGTTTGGGGTTTACAAGGCACTTATTGTAACAGGACAGGCAGTATCTTTTAATCTTTGCAAAATAATGAATGTTTGATAGTTGGGGAGCAGAGGAAAAGGACTGGAAGCTGCCATCCAAAGTGTTTCCAATGACCTTTTGGTGCTGTGTTGGGATATTGGTCCTGCCACACTAAGTAAGAGATAAACTATGCATTCATGAATTACTTCAACAGTAGCTGAAAGGTTGTGTGTTTCTACCTATGGAGTGAGATTTAAATCTTACTCCGCTACAGCATGTTAAACTAGTAGATTTTGAGCAGCTGCTACTAGAAATTGCTATGGCCTCTACAATGAAGAGATTTCCTAGGTGTTAAAATATTAATTCCTCATATTAAATCACTTGATATCATTTTGCTGCCAAAGCCAAGGACTGTGTATATTGCTCAAGTCACTGTCAAGATAGAGAGAAGAATCTTTTCACAACCTGCTTGCACAGTTCGGCTTAGTCTGGGACTTATTTACAAAGGAGTAGATGTTTGATCTGTGTTTGCTTGCTAGCAATATTCCATGTGTCTGTGCTGCTAAAGCTTACTTTGACATACTCTCCTTCTGTTATAAATGGGAGGAAGAGGGGTGGCTTTTAGGGGAACACATTTTCTTGTGTATTATCAGTAATGTTATGTGGATAATGGCTGTCTTAAAGTTGTTGATTTTCAGAGCCTAGTTGTACATTGTTTCTTGCTACTCCAGATAATAGCGGTTGTTGTATGTCATTGGATGGGATGTAAATTGATCAAGCTTGACAGCAGTTTCCTTCCTAAATGGAAGGCAAAATTGATTAAGGAAGGATTAATTTAACGTGAGATAGAAAGTACTGTTAGATCTGGTGACCAGCCAGCCATTGGCGGAGGATGCTGAGGACTTACTGAAGTCAATTGGTGAGGTTTCTCTTCACCTCTCTATCCTCTGTCTCCTTCCTTGTAAGAAAAATGTCCATGCAAACGAAGTTGCGCAGCCACTGTTCTATTGATTTCACAACCCTCCAAGTTCATTGCTACCGTAAGAAGTAAACAGCCCAATGACAATAGTGAAAGATGTGGCCTGGTCCAGGAATCCTCCTATCCTTTGTTCACCTACCTAACTTGAAAAGTAAATGCTCAGCCTCCAATGGGTGCACTTGGCTGATGGGTGCAAGCTTCTCCTCTGTTTTGTGCTTGTCTTGGTGCCTCTCCTGTTGGGTCCTCTCTCTTTTACACTGGAAGGCCCTTTGGGATGGTACGTGCTCAGACAGACTCTGTCCTCCGGAGTCAAGATATTGGCTGGACCTCTGGGCACTACTCTAATAAAAATAATAGGAACTTGATTAGGAGCCAGAAGATCTGTGTTCTGTTCACTGCTCTGGTGGTCACAGTGTGGTGTGGGTGTTTGGGTTTTTTTTTTCCTCTTAAGTTTTATATAAAACAAATCTCAGAAGAGGGGAGTGTATGAATATTGTTTTTGTTGCCTGTTCCACTGGCTCTGCATTTGTATGCTAGCTGAACCACCCCTTTTCCCTCTTGTCTTGTCTCTCCTTGTTTGATAAAGGAAGACTGATAACCTTCTTCCTTGTGTGGTAAATCATCTCTGTAGTGTCTCTCTTCCTCCCCTTTGAGGAAGAAATCTGTTATTACTCCCTGTAGAATGTTTTAAAAATCCTAGGATGAAAAAATCTTCAAAATATTAATGTTCTGCATGGTTAGAGCAAACACTATGTTCCTGTGAGTCACAGATGTCAGGTTTGTTTAATCTTAATAAATCTATGCCACAATAACACTTTTAAACAGGAAGAGAGATGGAGGGATGAAGGAAGAGTTGTGCTGGGGTAGAGAGGGTTCTTCGCCAAAATCTTGTTAAGTGGGAGTCTGGAGGTGAGGGGAGCATGGACATAAACCCAAACACTTCCCGCCCCACACACACTTCATTATGTAAACTTTGAGACCTACATTTTGGGCACTGCCTTTCTAGTACATATTTCATTTTCTTTGTATGTTTTATGATAGATTGTCTTTCCATGTTCAAGTCTTAAGAGTACTAGTTTCCCACAGCATATTTGCAGGAGATGAAGTAAGGCTTTTTACATAGCACCCTGTTGGCAAACAGAAATAGCATTTACTCCAGTGAGCGCTGCCAAGTATGAGGTACTTCCGAATGAACTTCAAAAGCTCTGAAACAAGCATTAGCTGCTTCTTCAAAAATGTGAACAATGCCATTGCTTTCTAGCAAGCAGAACTGGTGAGAGCGGGGATCGGAAGGAGGAAAAATAACAGCTGGATGTGATGGATGTTGTAGTAGCATTTGGGATCAGACAGAAAGCATAGCTCTCTGTCACTGCAGGATTTGGGGGGGTTCTTGTTGTAATAGTACCTAAAGTGTGTACTCTGCACTTGAGGAAGAAACAATTTCTACCCTGAGGAATGTACAATCTATGGAGACTTAGCAAAGCGCTTGGGAAGGAGCAGTCATGCAAGCCCAGGCTGTTGGGAGTGCTGATAGGAGTGAATCGTACTGATTCCAAGGCTGGTAAGGAGTTTTCTTACCGGCACTTTTTCCCAGTGCTACCCCTCCATGCTCAATGAGGACAAAGCCAAGCGTACACAAAAGCCTCAAAGCATGGCCCATAACACGTGCCAGAATTTGGGGCAGAATGTGAGGGAAACAGGCAAACTGCTGTGTTTCGATATGGCAGTAGGGCTGGTTGTGCTTCTGGTTTTCATGCTGAGCTTTAACTGGGTTTAAATAGGTGCTTTGTCCACTTCAGAACAGGTGGTATGGGGCTCTGGGAGAGTACGGTACAGTGGTTCTGGTACTGTCATTTCAGTATAGCTCTCTATCAGCTCTGTAATCCAGCAAGTCCTTTCCATGGCATTCACATGACTCAAGCAATATTTCCAGCTCAAATTTAGTATGGTAGCAAGCATACTGTCCTGTACCATTTTCTCGTTCTATATTTATGCATACATACCTTCTACTTTTATACGAGGAATTGACCTGCGGAGGCCTCAGAATTTGTATGGCCTCTTCCTGTGTTTTGAAGGTTGTTTTCAAAATACGAATGCAATTTATCCTGGTGCTGTTCAATTTCTTGTGGATAGAATGATGAAATATTTTTGGCATAGAGAGATCTTAAAAATCAAGGATTTGCATTTGCACTTCCAATGGAAGTCTTGCCTTTCACACTTGTGAAGCAGCCTTTTACTGCTGAAATGTTGGATTGCTAAATAGCAGTTCTGCTTTTGCTGTTACTTGAAATAGGTGTAATCAGTCAATAAATGAGTCCGCGCAGTATCTAATCTAATAATTTCTACAGAAAGACTGGCACGTAAGAACTCTGACTTGCTGGTATCAGTGTTGCCTAAGCTTTGGCATATGCTGTATCTGAAACTCTAAACAAAAGAACACCCTTGTACGAGAGTATGCTTTATCACCAGTAATGAGCTGCGGCTGCATGCAGCAGATCTCTGCAGAAAATGCATAATGTCTCATGACAACTCAGGTGAATTTTTATTACTCCGTCCCTCGTAAGTTAAATCTTTTTTTTTTTTTTCTTGTTCTTGTCCTTAACAGTTCCACCAAGTGAGAAGAGTGATGACCATCCTTTTCCTTACTATGGTTATCTCATACTTCAGTTGCATGAAAGCTGCCCCGATGAAAGAAGCTAGTGTAAGAGGACAAGGCAGCTTGGCTTACCCAGGTCTTCGGACCCATGGGACTCTTGAGAGCCTAAATGGGCCCAATGCTGGTTCAAGAGGACTGACATCGCTGGCGGACACTTTTGAACATGTCATAGAGGAGCTTCTAGACGAGGACCAGGACATCCAGCCCAGCGAGGAAAACAAGGATGCAGACTTGTACACATCCCGAGTCATGCTAAGCAGTCAAGTGCCTTTGGAACCCCCACTGCTCTTTCTGCTCGAGGAGTACAAAAACTACCTGGATGCTGCAAACATGTCCATGAGGGTCCGGCGCCACTCTGACCCAGCTCGCCGCGGGGAACTGAGCGTATGTGACAGCACGAGCGAGTGGGTGACGGCAGCAGAGAAAAAGACTGCAGTGGACATGTCTGGGGCGACTGTCACAGTCCTGGAAAAAGTCCCAGTACCCAAAGGCCAACTGAAGCAATACTTCTATGAGACCAAATGCAACCCCAAGGGGTACACAAAGGAGGGATGCAGGGGCATAGACAAGAGGCACTGGAACTCCCAGTGCCGAACTACCCAGTCTTACGTGAGAGCTCTCACCATGGATAATAAAAAGAGAGTTGGCTGGCGCTTTATAAGGATAGACACTTCCTGTGTATGTACATTAACCATTAAAAGGGGAAGATAGTGGATTCGTGTTGTATAGATTATATTGAGACAAAATTATCTATTTGTATATATACATAACAGGGTAAATTATTCAGTAAAAAATTTTATGGACTGCATGTATAACTGAAGTTTATACAGTACAGTGGTTCCACAATCTATTTATTGAACATATCCATGACCTGAAGGGGAACAAAAGTCATTTGCGCACAAGTTTAAAAAAAAAAAACAACAAAAAAACCCACAAAAAAAAACAAAAAAAACCCCACAAAAAAACAAACAAAAAAAAAAGCAAACAAAAAAGTCTGCATTACATTCCTCGATAACATTGTGGTTTGTCGCCGTTGCCAAGAATTGAAAATACAAAAAGTTAAAAAAAAAGAATAAAATTGCATGCTGCTTCAATTGTGAATTGATGATAAACTGTCCTCTTTCAGAAAAATAAATTGAACCAAAACATTCCGTTTACATTTTAGACAGTAAGTATCTTTATTCCTGTTAGTATTATATCTGTTTACTGCTTTTAACTTCTGATAGCGTTGGAATTAAAACAATGTCAAGGTGCTGTTGTCATAGTTTTACTGTTTCTCTTTTACTTTTGAACTCCCATCAGATTGAAAAGAAAAAAAATCATTACCTTATTCTGGATTAAAAACAAATTTGGTTTTTTGTATGTTGTGAAGGTGTTTGCAATAGCAATCCAAATACTGACAAAAAGAAATAAAAAAGGCAACTGAAAATGAATGGTGATGTTCCACTTCACATTGTTGAACTTCAGGCTTAAAGACAGCACTTATTTAACTGATGACAACATGCTTTTTTGGGTTATTTTCTTTTTTTTTTTTTAATTTGCTGTCTTTTGAGACCTGCATTTGCTTATACCATGTTTGTTTGTGTTTGGGTTTTTTGTTCCCTTTCCTCCCTCTGGAAGGATGTTGGTTGTCATCTTTAAAACATTTCACTTGCCATACAACTGGAGCTTGTCATATAGAAAATATTCTATAGAGTGTGGAGAGCAATGATTTTCATGGAATAAAAGACTCTGTGCTTGGATCAAATGTCTTGGTGAAGCACATGAAGAATATCACTAGAAAAGGGTCTAGCAAGATGATAGTGGATCTGAAATCAGGTCGGTCATGGGACTGGGTAGCTCAGCCAGTTCAGGGACAGCTAACAGTGTTTTGGGTTGACTGAGGCAATCCAAGTCGGCACTGAAAGTGGTCCTGAGCATCCTCTGAGAGTTGCCTTGTACACTGATGCAGGTAGCCCAGCCTTACCCTCCAGAGCTTGTCTAGCAGCCCCAGGCCTGCAAAGCGTGGTGTGCAAGCTGCAGTGGCATCCGTGCCCGAAGGAGCCTTGGGAAAGAGCTAGGGAATGAGGCAGAAAGAGGCCCTGCCTCTAGTTGAAAGCAATTAGAATTTATGTTTGTGTGGCTCTACCTCTGCTGTTAGCCTTATTTTATGAAATTAATATTGGCATAAAAAATACTCTTGAAGTAAGCGAAAAGCAAGTGCTGCAGGAGTTGCTGAGGTTCTGATAGACGTATTTAGCCCTGCGCTACGCCTCTAACTATCCTGACAGAAGTATTTCTAAAAAGGCAGGTTGTAAGCCGAAGAGCCGTGCATAGCACTTGCACTGACTACAGTGGGCAGAGAGGCAGAAATAGCTCACTGAAGGCAGATGCTATATTTGTAATTCCTGTAGATGAAGAAAAGTAGCTGAACGAAGAGGAAAACACTGCAAAACATAACTGCTGCTGAATGCTGCAGGATCTACATTAGTCTGCCTTGCTGTTGAAGTTAGTTAAAAACTTGGACTGGGCAAAGCTTGTTTGAAATATGGTCTCCCATGATAATTCTCTTTGAAGGGTATATTTAATGCTGAGTTTATGTCATTACTAGCAGAAACCCATGCTGGAAGCTGACAGAGGTACCTTCAAAATCAGGAAGCCTTAGGGCTTCTACGCTAAGCCCTTCTTAGGGTAGAAGGGCTTCCCCTTCCCTAGGATAACTGACTGTCAAAGGAAAACCATCCCAACTGTAAAATGAAAACCTTTTGCATTGGCCACGTGCTTGCTGGACCATGAATGAGAAGAGAAGGGTTGTGTGACCCTCCTGAACTTCAAACTTCAGCCTTCCCAATCAATTGCAGATACTCAGGCTCCCACATAGAAATCAGAAATGAAAAAAAACCTTACTGAAACGTCTTAAAACTTCAGCTGAAGTATTATTCATGCAAATTGAATGTCAGTGTAATGGAGAATTTCATTTCACTCTGGCCAGTACCTGTATGCGTATTATAATTCTTTGCATTTAATAACCCAAACGTGGCTCAGGAGCTATGCTCAGCAGTATTCCTAAACTACGGCAGAGACATGGTGTAACGGTGGCTCCCCTCAAAAGCAGAGCTGGTTGCTTAGGAAGGGGAAAGAATGATGCTAGTGAGTGAATAACAGATCACTCGCTCATCTAGACTGGAAAAAGAAATGATAGCTAGGCCATGACAGTGATCTAATTCAGATACAGGAATAAAATAATTCCCAGTTCAAATAAATTGAATTTCCAAAAGAGAAGTGTTAATGCATAAATCATGCTAGAGATAAAGTTCCTCATTTCCCAAAGTTAATTGTGGCAACGTCCTTAAGTCAGAAGTCCTCACCCGGCATAGGTAAGGGTGGTGCTGGTGTGGCAGAATTAAAACAGCGGGATGGTAGGTTCGGAGGGGTAAAGGGCAGCCCATGCGGGTGGGGCACTAAGGGATGGAGCTGAGAACCTACAGAAGAACCACGTCCTGTAACTACATCTAGAGTGATATTCCCCATAATACACCAATTCTGTGCCTATTGATATAACGTGAAACTGGCAATTAAACTGCAGTCCCACGGCTCTCACCTGCCTGACCTAATACATCCATGATCGCAGGCTTGGCAGTTTTAGTTAAAACAGGGATGGGGGGGTGGTTTTCTTTCATGTCACTTAATTAAACTCTTGCTGTGGTCTGTTTGTGACAAAGGTATATCATGCATGTCAGCAGGCCTAGTGCTGTGTTAAAGTAAAGACTCTTGCAACTGTAAGTTAATGTCTGTGGCCTTGTTCTCTATTATTCACCTTGTGTAACATAAATATTTATTGTATATTTATATAATTTTATGTTTTTTGGGAAAAACTGAAATTGGCATTAAAATTTAAAAGCAACTGCGTCACATTGTAAATATAATTAAGCTATATTTAAGTGTACTGATTAACATAATATATGTTTAACTATAGAGTTTTTTATGTTTTTAAATATATTTTCAAAATATATATATATATAAAACTTGGGGGTTTTTGGGGGACCATGTGACTCTTTTCTCTAATTGTAAAACAAACCTGAGTTTTACTATAAAGATGTGTGTTCTTTGTTTTAAAACAATTTTTACTTTATTTTAGCAATAAAATCTCACTCGGAGGGCAGATAGCCCCCTGTTTCATAGCCGGACAGTTAGCATGGGGAGGGGAGGGGTGGCAAGGATTTACTTTCCATAAAAGTTGGGGATGCTCACGGAATGATGTATTTCCATTTAATTCTAGCACATAAGTCCTCGTGGGACTAAAAACCCATGAATGACACAGATATATGATTTTATTCAGCCATAAAATAATGAGCGTAATGGAAGTGAGGGGGAGGGGTTACTAACCTTAGTAACTAAGGAATAAGTGAGACATAAACTCAATAGCTATAGTCCAGTCATGTACCTGATTTTTAAATGGTGTCATGTATATTTATATCCCCTGCGCTGAACTTATTTATGACCCCACAGAGTACTAGGAGTGGAATTCCTTGGATTTAACATATTGTTAGCATTTCTAAAAGAATATGCTCTACTATAACTGCCAAGCCTTTGTATATTTAATTATCCCATAGCCCTAGAACAATCAATAAATCTTCATGATGAATAGAAAATGTTCATATAACTTAAGGGGGAAAAAAAAGCACAAGCCCAAACTCTTAAAAAATTCCATTGCTGCAAATTTCCCAAGAGCCCAGTGCCAGCACCGTCTCCACAAGAACCGAGGAAATGGTGCTTCTGCAGATTATCATTTATATTAAACACACATGCGTGCACATTGCTTGCTTTATTGTTGTCTTAAAATAAGCTAACGGAAGCAGAAACAGATACTCAAACCATTGGCGTATGGAAGGATGGGGCCATGTTATTACTGCGCCATGTGCCTGCTCCTGGCTGCGGGAGGCGGCTCCGCTCGGACCCTGCCTCCTGCCCTAGATAGGACACAGGTAGGTGAGGTTGGTTTAGCTTATTTTACTGTTAAATATATGGCACAGGTACCTAGGGAATGAAATGGGCACCCTCAAAATACATATTTGAACTACAGAGGAAGATACGGGAGCTAACCATCCATCCATCCATCCACTCCACTGAATCCTAGCTCTGTAGGGGAAAAGAAAGATACTTCCATAGCTTTCATCACTTGGAGCAGAAATAAAGGCATATAACTAGACTTTTAAATTACTCAGCCAGAGAACAGCAGCAAACAGTAAAAGAAGATTTTTGAAGAGAATCTCAAGGCTACATTTAAGCGCAATGAGAGGGGGAGGACATTTATTTCAGTTTGTCCCAGGTGGATCCAATACACTGCTTCCAGAGGCTACTTCTCCTAATTAAGATCTCATTGAGAAGACACCTTCTGGCAGGGCAATTAAAATGAAAAAGGAATGGATGCACTTGTTTGGAGTAAATATAAAGAACACCAAGGCCTAATCTTGTGATGCTATTTTAAAATTAGGAAGGTTCAGTAGGGGGTGTTTTGGAAGAAAAGAAGATTTTTCTGAATTTTTTTTTCAGTGGTGATTTTTTTTTTTTAACCACTTGCTACCATTTTGGGCAAAGACTGTGGTATCAATATAAATCAATGGAGTTGAACTCATAGCTTTTTTTGATGCCTGTGGGAGAAGAAGGCCTGGAGATGGCATGAGTGGGTCCAATTTTTCCAAGCAAGATCTGGATTCACCTGTGGAATTTGAGATGCTTCTGGAAATCCAGTCTTAAATCTCATCATGTGAGATGGCGGCAGAAAGCACTCAGAGGTAAGCTGCTCTTTGCTACACCAACCCCTTGTTGAGGTACACAACACATAGCTGCTGGTTTTTGCTTTGCTGTGCAAGAATGAGTCTCTAAAACCTGCCTGTAACCTGACCGCTTCTCTCAGGGGTCCATACCGAAGTCACAAATATGTGTATGTATTTATCTAGATGTAAAATATCTAGTGGTACTGCTGGCTGA